CTTCACTTTCTAGTGAGTGGTCTGGTCAACATATTTCAGCCACGTTATTGTGTCTCCTCGTCTGCAATCACAGTTCAATTAAATCCATCACGGATCAATTCCCCACTCATCAAATATCAACATGAGTGTCTCTTCCGCCTCGTTTGCGTTTCCAAGATAATGTGACATACATTAGCATTTTTGCCATTTGTTAGAATTTCTCGTTTTTCTGCGAATTTATTCCTAAAGTTTGACTAATGAGAGAAGGATATAGGGGGAACTAATTAACTGTATTCTCTTTTTCATCAATACTATAAAAAATGACTAATATTTTAACATCAAAATGGAAAACAAAAATGAGAAAGATGGAGACGAAAAGAGAGAGAGAGAAGGAGGAAAAAACGTGGAAAGGATTACATATTTATTCTGTTTTCCTGCCATTACCAGGAATTACAGTGTTGTTCCTGTCATTTTGTTCTAACTTATTGCACCTGTTGACTTTACTAATTAGGAAAACTGGGCAGATAGCAAGACAGACATTCAGGGAGGGAGAGAGAAAGAGAGAGAGAGAGAGAGAGAGAGAGAGAGAGAGAGAGAGAGAGAGAGAGAGAGAGAGAGAGAGAGAGAGAGAGAGAGAGAGAGAGAGAGAGAGACAGACAGACAGAGCAAGAGAGGCCGAGAGACAGACAGACAAAGAAACAGACACCTCTCTTAGCCTCCTAAAATACCAACATTCCTCCGCTGCGTGTAACCTCCTTTTAAATACTTTCCATCGTTCCAGGCTCCTCCAATCTGCTCCACCTGCCCTCAGCTTCCTGTAAAGATGGTTTACCTCTCCTACCATAATAATCACAGCTTGTTTGTGTTTGGTCAGTTAGGTCATCTGAATGTTAGACGCTTCTCGTGGAACTGAACAGTGTGATATTATGGGTGAAGGGATACCTTACACGTTGGAAACAGAGGGCAATGGTGAGAGAAAAAATCAGGGTTGGGGAGGGAGGGGAAAGTGTTCACAAGTGGAGTACTATAGTGATCTGTTCTGAGGCCTTTTCTGTTTCTGTTACATGTAAAAGGCCTGTTAGAGGAAATAATATTATTTATATCACTCTTTCTGGACAATTCAAAGCATGAGAAGAGTTAGAGAGAAGATGAGAGGAGTTAGATAAGAGATGAGAGGAATTAGAGAGATGAGAGGAGTTATAAAAAGAGATAAGAGGAGTTAGAGAAAAGATGGGAGGAGTTAGAGAAGAGATGAGAAGAGTTAGAGAGATAAGAGGAATTAGAAGCGACCTTAACTGCTAGAAGCTTCACCAATAAGCGAAGGCACTGCATCATTAGCCAGGAATAGGTTTTCTAGACTTCAAGCCGCATATTTATGTCAAAAATAAAAACTACTGAAAATCTTGGAACAAATATAACTTCCTTCAGATGTGGTTCTTGAGGACTACCTCAAGCAAAATAAGTTCCAGCAAATGTCTGAGTATAGTTCAGGTTAATTGATTAATTAGGTCTGAACAGTCTTTGGTCAGCAGTTTTTTTCCGTATTAACTCCAATGTCTCTCTACGTCTTTGTGGTTTTTTTTTCGTGTATTTATCTCCCTCCCTTCTTCTGATTGCATTTCTTCCATGCCCACCTTCGCCATGGAACGCATAAAAGGAGAACAGAACAGGTAAGAAAGGGAGTATAGGGAGAGGATAAAGACGAAGGATAGGCAGCTTTAAAAAGGGTATTAATTGGGATATCTCTGATAAAGGAGAAAGAGGGGGAACAGCGAAAAACAAATTAACAAATTTGGAGGGAAAAAAGGCAGAGAAGGAATGAAGAACAAGGAGAGAAGGGAGAGAGAAGAAAGAGAAGAGAGAGATAGGAGTTATAAGCAAGAGTCATAAGATATTCTCTTGCTTAAGAAATCACCAGTTAACTTCTTGAAGTGTGTTGACTATTGTCAAGGCCTCACAGTAAGACATAAATAACACTTCACGGATAAGTGCTCTCTGCTGAACACTTCCTGGAGAGCTGGGGCCAGATTCGCGAAGCAGTTACCCAAGCACTTATGAACCTATACATCTTTCCACAATCTTTGACGGCTTCGGTTACATTTATTAAGCAGTTTACAAGCATAAAAACATCCCAATCAACTGTTGGTCTTGTTATAAACAGCCTCCTGGTGCTTCGGAGCTCTTTAAGTGTTTAATAATTGTAAACAAAGCCGCCAAAGATTGAGAAAAGATGTACAGGTTCGTAAGTGCTTGCGTAAATGCTTCGTGAATCTGGCCCCTGAACAAGGACTGGAACTCGGTAACAGAGCAGCTATATGAGACTGGTGGGACAAGGACTCCACAGCACCCTACTGAGGGACCGTGGTCTTCATAGCACCCGACCTTGGGTACTGTGGTCTTCATAGCACCCGACCTTGGGTACTGTGATCTTCATAACACCCGACCTTGGGTACTGTGATCTTCATAACACCCGACCTTGGGTACTGTGGTCTTCATAACACCCGACCTTGGGTACTGTGGTCTTCATAGCACCCGACCTTGGGTACTGTGGTCTTCATAACACCCGACCTTGGGTACTGTGGTCTTCATAGCACCCGACCTTGGGTACTGTGGTCTTCATAACACCCGACCTTGGGTACTGTGGTCTTCATAACATCCGACCTTGGGTACTGTGGTCTTCATAGCACCCGACCTTGGGTACTGTGGTCTTCATAACATCCGACCTTGGGTACTATGGTCTTCATAGCACCCGACCTTGGGTACTGTGGTCTTCATAGCACCCGACCTTGGGTACTGTGGTCTTCATAGCACCCGACCTTGGGTACTGTGGTCTTCATAACACCCGACCTGGGGTACTGTGGTCTTCATAACATCCGACCTTGGGTACTGTGGTCTTCATAGCACCCGACCTTGGGTACTGTGGTCTTCATAGCACCCGACCTTGGGTACTGTGGTCTTCATAGCACCCGACCTTGGGTACTGTGGTCTTCATAACACCCGACCTTGGGTACTGTGGTCTTCATAACACCCGAACTTGGGTACTGTGGTCTTCATAGCACCCGACCATGGGTACTGTGGTCTTCATAGCACCCGACCTTGGGTACTCTGGTCTTCATAGCATCTTAGAGTGAATTGTGAGCCATAAGACCAGCACGGACACACCGTGCAGACCCTACACCTTACCCCACACAACGAGACGCTGTAGGACTTGAAGTCATGTTTTGTTAAGTTGACATTACGTAGTATATACATTGCAATTACAACTGTGTATTCAAAAGTAACTGTGTGACTTGGATAAGAACTAACACGAGGGACGTGTCCCAGCGCTGAAGGACCGAACTGGCCGACTCTCCTAATCACAAGCTTAAATCTTGGCATAAAAAGCTAAGCCAATGACATTGGTTGAGAGTTCAGGTAACATACTTCTATTCACATCAGAAATATTCTCTCGCGAACTGTGAAGCAAAGGGGAAACGTCCAATGATGGGCAAGCTCTTGACACGAAGCAGAAACATGAAACAACTGACATGAAGAAGAGAGAGAGAGAGTCTAAAGTGTGACTGACCCTGGTTCCAGCCCAGAAGGGAACCAGGCTCCAGCCTGGCTCCAGGAAGGCCAAATGAGCCTTTCCACTACTAAGCTGACCAGATGGTAGCGTCATAAACACCAATAAAGAAAAAGTTTCCCTTCTAGTAGCACCTTTTCCTACTAAGATGCAAGTTTCTGATCGAAGATAGCAATAGGTCCAGCTTTCTAAAAGCAATCAGTCAATAACTGCATAATTGTAGTTGCTGTCAAAGTTGTCAGTGGTGATTAAAAATATATAATGGTGTCCACGCCCTCTGTAAATCATTCGACGTGGGAAAAGAAACGGGGGCCCCTGATAAGGTCCAAATTCCAAATTCCAGGGCCAAATTCAGCAGACCAGCCGAGATTAATACCAACATACCTCAATCATCCTCAGTCCATTAAAGGAATAGTTGCGGAGTGTACTACAGGCCAGCGTCACTGCTGTCAATCACCGGTTAAGGAAATTGAAACACTATTAACAGCATTTTTTTCCTTCGTCATCTCTCACTGTGTTCCTGCCAATATAGTTACTAAAAGGTTGTTCTGATTCTGATACCAATTTGAACCACTCCCTTATATGACATCTTAAGAAATCCATGATTTCTTAAGATGAAATTTTTAGACACTGTAGGTGCCTTTGACCTAGTGTGAACAGACAATTTAAGAAAAAGACCAGACAATTTAAGACCAGACAATTTAAGACCAGACCATTTAAGAAAATAGCAAAGGTGCAGGACCTAAAGATATCTTAAACGCTATTATGCATTTATTGGTTGATTACCAACAAGAATGGACTTAAAGTTGTCCATGAAGGTGACTTTATAGACTTACTTTAAAGGTTAAAGGCCTTAAGGTGACACAGTTAGTGCTTGTTACTGAGGAAACAGTAGCATTGAGAGATACTGCCAGTATTTTCTCAATAAAAAATATAACCTGTTAATGACAACTCCAGACAGATCATGTTCCATGACGTGATTAATGAGTCTCATTAGTGGTGGGCATTTCCACTTATAAATACTGTGATTAAAGGTTAGAGTACCATTATCAGCATAGGCTTGGGCATTAGGAATTATATGCAGTTAATTAGACAATATAGCTAAGCATAAGGATGTATCAATAATGTTCACGTATGCAAACAAAACATGTGAAAGCTTCCCAGTTTATATATATCCAGGCCTATATATATTAATATATATCCAGATCTATATATATTAACTCAAATGAGTTAATGTAGACTAACAACAGTTATCATTCAGTATTCATTCAACATCAATCCTTATCCTACTGAACCCCTAATCTTAGTTAAACAAAGTATATATGGGAAAGGGAGGACTGAATATATTGGTGAACGATAAGGGAACGAACGAGAGGAACGGAATATGATAATATGACTAGGAAGAGAACCAGTTGGGGAGAATAGGATGGAAATAAGAGGTTAGAATGATAGAAGTATGCACTTTAAAGGACAAAAAATACGGGGAGAGTGGATGTCTTTATGCGATAGCGAAAAAAATAACACAGGAAGTAGGGACCCGGGGACTGCAGGAGGAACCCGCAATACGGAGACTCCAACAGGAACCCGCAATACGGAGACTCCAACAGGAACCCGCAATACGGAGACTCCAACAGGAACTCGCAATACGGAGACTCCAACAGGAACTCGCAATACAGAGACTCCAACAGGAACCCGCAAAACGGAGACTCCAACAGGAACCCGCAAAACGGAGACTCCAACAGGAACCCGCAAAACGGAGACTCCAACAGGAACTCGCAATACAGAGACTCCAACAGGAACCCGCAAAACGGAGACTCCAACAGGAACTCGCAATACAGAGACTCCAACAGGAACCCGTAATACGGAAACTCCAACAGGAATCCGCAATACGGAGACTGCAGAAGGAACCCGCAATAATTCAGACAGTCTCATATTCTGCTATGAATTATGACTCGCCGATATTTCCTTGAGAGAAAGCTGGTAGGTGAGATTTAGCAGAAGGTGGAGACTGAGGTTAAGAAGTAGGTTGAGGGTGAGCAGGGGGCTGAGAGCTAGGTTGAGGGTGAGCAGGGGGCTGAGAGCTAGGTTGAGGGTGAGCAGGGAGCTGAGAGCTAGGTTGAGGGTGAGCAGGGGGCTGAGAGCTAGGTTGAGGGTGAGCAAGGGGCTGAGAGTTAGGTTGAGGGTGAGCAGGGGGCTGAGAGCTAGGTTGAGGGTGAGCAAGGGGCTGAGAGCTAGGTTGAGGGTGAGCAAGGGGCTGAGAGCTAGGTTGAGGGTGAGCAGGGAGCTGAGAGCTAGGTTGAGGGTGAGCAGGGGGCTGAGAGCTAGGTTGAGGGTGAGCAGGGGGCTGAGAGCTAGGTTGAGGGTGAGCAGGGAGCTGAGAGCTAGGTTGAGGGTGAGCAGGGAGCTGAGAGCTAGGTTGAGGGTGAGCAAGGGGCTGAGAGCTAGGTTGAGGGTGAGCAGGGGGCTGAGAGCTAGGTTGAGAGTGAGCAGGGGGCTGAGAGCTAGGTTGAGGGTGAGCAGGGGGCTGAGAGCTAGGTTGAGGGTGAGCAGGGAGCTGAGAGCTAGGTTGAGGGTGAGCAGGGGGCTGAGAGCTAGGTTGAGGGTGAGCAGGGAGCTGAGAGCTAGGTTAAGGGTGAGCAGGGGGGCTGAGAGCTAGGTTGAGGGTGAGCAGGGAGCTGAGAGCTAGGTTGAGGGTGAGCAGGGGCTGAGAGCTAGGTTGAGGGTGAGCAGGGGGCTGAGAGCTAGGTTGAGGGTGAGCAAGGGGCTGAGAGCTAGGTTGAGGGTGAGCAGGGAGCTGAGAGCTAGGTTGAGGGTGAGCACGGGGCTGAGAGCTAGGTTGAGGGTGAGCAAGGGGCTGAGAGCTAGGTTGAGGGTGAGCAGGGAGCTGAGAGCTAGGTTGAGGGTGAGCAGGGGGCTGAGAGCTAGGTTGAGGGTGAGCAAGGGGCTGAGAGCTAGGTTGAGGGTGAGCAAGGGGCTGAGAGCAAGGTTGAGGGTGAGCAGGGGGCTGAGAGCTAGGTTGAGGGTGAGCAAGGGGCTGAGAGCTAGGTTGAGGGTGAGCAGGGGGCTGAGAGCTAGGTTGAGGGTGAGCAAGAGGCTGAGAGCTAGGTTGAGGGTGAGCAGGGGCTGAGAGCTAGGTTGAGGGTGAGCAGGGGGCTGAGAGCTAGGTTGAGGGTGAGCAGGGGGCTGAGAGCTAGGTTGAGGGTGAGCAAGGGGCTGAGAGCTAGGTTGAGGGTGAGCAAGGGTCTGAGAGCTAGGTTGAGTGTGTGGTTGAGTACGGGGATCAATAAGAGGTTGAGAAGGCAGTTGTAAGTGAGGATGAGATGGGGTCATTGGTAAGAGTGAAAATGGAGCCGAATTGAAGATAAGGATAACAATGTAGGTAACGCTGGTAGGAGAGTAAAGAGCAAGGATGCAAAGGTGATGGTGAAGAGAGAGAGAGAGAGAGAGAGAGAGAGAGAGAGAGAGAGAGAGAGAGAGAGAGAGAGAGAGAGAGAGAGAGAGAGAGAGAGAGAGAAGGAAGGCAAGTTAATGGTAAAAACAAGGTAATGTTAGCTTGCTTAAAAACATATAATTATTTATAATATAGAAATATAAATAAAAAATTATTTGTGAATTGCATCAAGCCCCAAGATCCCATTAATTACCTGTTAAAGATTTCATTAATTAGGGTTTATATGGCTTGCGGCCTAATTAGCATTGCCAGGTGAGAGAGGAACCAGGTAATATTTGGTGGTTTGCGAAAGGTAAGTACACAGGGATACTACTGATGTCCCTAGCTGTAGTGTAGGGGTGGGTGTGGTGTAGGGGAGGGTGTGGTGTAGGGGTGGGTGTGGTGTAGGGGTGGGTGTGGTGTAGGGGAGGGCGTGGTGTAGGGGTGGGTATGGTGTTGGGGTGGGTGTGGAGTAGGAGTGGGTGTGGTGTAAGGATGGGCGTGGTGTAGGGGAGGGTGTGGTGTAGGAGTGGGTGTGGTGTAGGGGAGGGTGTGGTGTAGGGGTGAGTGTGGTGTAGGGGTGGTGTGGTGTAGAGGCTCTGTGCTATAAAGTGTTCCGTGTTAATCGCGAAATTGTTCTCAAGCTCGTTAATAATTTGTTTGGACTTGGAAAAGTTCGTGGTGATGAGGTGGTGTATGGCAGGGATGTCCATCGTGTGGTATATGGGGTTCAGTGTGATGAAGAAGGTGGTGTACCGGAGGGATGGGGGACGTAGTTTACAAAGGGATACGGCCAAGAACCGCAAGAACGGCCCAGTTCGGGGCGAGCCAATACTCCCGGACGGCTAGGCGGAGGAGAAAGGATTTGCCAATTTTTCCGCCAATCCTAATGAAAGTAATCTACTCTCCCACGCTGCCTAATTTTGTTTCCCGGGTGAATAATTGAGATAGGGGAGATGCGCGGTCGGTGAATGCCCGCATTGCCAGATGTATATGAATTTTTATTGCACCATTTCCGTTCCAACCCCTTTGAATTATACACATACACCCTCAGTATATATTTTATTTTCTGGCCACGACTCTACCGACAAGAGACCAGGACAATATTTTTCATGCGATAAAATAATGATCAGGGACGAGCTTTATGAAGAAAATGTATATAAATATAAAAGGTTTGTGCTGTTTTCTAAAATTTAGGACTCATAAAGATCCGTGGCTGGTTGGGGAGGTGTTGGGGGGGGTGTGGGGGGGTGTTGGGGGTGTGGGGGGGGTGGGGTTGAGGAGAGGTACACATCCTCAGTCGTATGTAGACAGGGTTGGGTGGGAGTGGTCTTGGAAGGTTTGAGGATACGTAAATACCAGGGGGGATATACCACATTACCTTCCATCACTCAGTTACAGCCTCGCTCCTGTGCTAGGTAAGTCCGCTACGGGCTCACCATAGCCCGTGCTACTTGGAACTTTTGTTCCGAGTAGCTGAATCTAAAACAACAACCAGACTAGCCGGAGCCGTGGCCTAGCCCAGGTAAACATCAGCGAGGATCGGTTTGAAGGACTAGATTACTGACGTTCTCTCCAAGGTGTCGCGATGATTCCGCCATAAGCTTCTTGACATTAAAAATCTTTTGGTGACTTGTTATGATTATTTTCTAAAGGATGCCAGTGATGGTGGATGAAATATTTGTATTAACTCAGAGCGGTCATTACAGCCTTGGGTATAAATACGCTAGTGGCTCAGCAATAGTGATCAGCCTGCCTTAGCATCAGAGAGCCTATTACTCTTGTCTCGATATCCACTTCGTAAAACAATGCAGTGATTTAGCCTAACCCAAACCGTCAAATCCTCGGCTACCCACCTAACCTACTGGAACCGATAGTCATTATAGACCCATGAAGCGTCAATATTGCCGTGTTTTTAATTTCCCTAAATCACCGCAATTTTTACGCAGGGCTCGATTACGTAAAATGTGGAAAGCCCTGACCCTCGCCCTCCTTTCTGAAATTTCGAAATAAATAAATAAATATTACATAATATATATATATATATTATATATATATATATATATATATATATATATATATATATATATATATATATATATATATATATATATATTTTACAGGAAGAGCCCAACACACAGGAAGTGGCCACAACAAACCAGGGAGAAAATCAGCGCACTGTTGGAAGAACTTCCCCGCTGGTGCCTCCGGCAGGGCTTGACTCCTCCAGTATCAAAATTAAGTATTCAGGGCGGCGGAAAACATTACCAACTCACCCCACTAAGTTTTAAGACCCGCCCATGTTGGGGACTAAAGTTTTCTCTACTCGGGCCGGCAGCTACACCTTCCTCCCAGCCCCCCCCCCCCCTTGTGCAGGTCACTCCTGTTCCTCAAGGCATCACACACACCCCCCTTTTAGACCTTAAAAGGCCTTCAGGGCGGACGTCTGACTGTTTACGGGCTCACCATAGCCCGTGCTACATAGACACATCGTTCTGAGTAGCTAAATTTAAAACAACAACAACAGCGGACCCAACCCGTCCTCGACTCAAGTCCATTACATCCAGCGGTCAACCCCACAGACGCATTCATTAATTTTAACATTCTGTTCATTCAAAACGGGAATTTTCTCAAGTATAAATTAATATTATTAAATATTGGGATATTGTGTATATATAGGCATAGGATAGGTTAGGTTAGGTGTTTAGGTTCTGTTGGTGAGTATTTGTATTTGTAGTACGTGGGTGAAGCATTTACAGCGTTGTGATTCGAACAAAATTCGTCAGTGAAGCACTTGTTCCGGATATGTTCGAACGTCAGCAGTTGTGAGTCGTGTGTAAACCGCTTTTCATTCATAAACAGGGGGTTTGGCGGGTGCATGGAATCACTTTTGGATCTTTGTTTGGAGGACGGGCTGAATTCGCACCAATTGGTTCGTTCAGGTACCATTACGAAACCCGTCCTCTAAACAAAGACCCAAAGTCCATTCCATGCACCCGCCAAACCCCCTGTATCTGAATGAAAAACGGTTTACACACGACTCACAACTGATGATGTTCGAACACTTCCGGAACAAGTGCTTCACTGACGAATTTTGTTGAACCACAACGCTATAAATGCTTCACCCACGTACTACAAATACAAATAATCGCCAACAGAACCTAAACACCTAGCCTAACCTACCCTATGGATATATATGTACAATATGCTAATATATTATAATATTAATTTATATTTGAGAAAATTCCCGTTTTGAATGAACAACATGTAAATATTTATGAATGCATCGGTGGGGTCGACCGCTGGATGTAATGGACTTGAGTCGAGGACGCAAATAATCGCAAATAGGACCTAAACACCTAACCTAACCAGTGCCTAAATATGTACAATATGGTAATATAAATAATATTAATTTATTTTTTGAGAATTTGAGTAAATTCCTGTTTTGAATGAACAGCATGAACAGCATTATATTTATGAATACGTCTTTGGGGGTCGACCGCTGGATGGAATGGAGTGGT